TTTTGCTGCTTTTTAAATCCTATTGCAATGTGAAGAGGGCAGCTCACTTTCAGTTCTAGTCACCTGTTGGGCTTGAAGTCACAGTGGCCTGTCAGCGGATTATTGTCTATACTGTGTATTGCAGTGCTCGCCCTGCACATTTACCTGTCTACAGCAAACTTGCTCTAAAGCCTCACAACTGCCAGGTCTAGGAAGCATGAGGATATGAGTGACCGTTTGCACTGCCGTGCACGGCCTGCTTGCCTGCACGAATCTGTACTCAGCAAATGCAGACCTTAGTGCTTCAGATCGCGTGGAATCTGAAAGTGATCAAACACTTCGCTGGCTGATTCGCAGTTCAGCAGTCCTTCCTCTTAGGACAACATTTTGCGGTTTTGTTCCAGACGTGAAGCTGCTTTACGAAATCCGGTTCCAAATCATCACGTTCTGCCTCTAAGGACAGTGTGCTCAGGTTGAGGCTGCGTCAGTTCTGTGGATGAATGAGCACACCATCCCCTTGCCCTGTACATAGGCTGCTTTTAATCCAAAATGGCCTGCTGTTTCTGCTGATGATAGCAGTGTGGAGGGGCAGCTCCAGTCATGGATCCTGCCCTCTTTGTTGGTTCCTTTGTTCTTCCTTAGGCCATCTGTGAAGTGGGCTCCTGCCAGGAGCGAGGGGAACTCAGGCCAGTCTCTGCTGTGGGTGCTTCAGGGGCGCAGTTGCTGAGCAGCTGGACGGTATTTCGCCAGGGAGCAGGCACCTCTGCGGCCCCAGGTGCGGCTGTTTAGTTTGCTGAAGTAGGCCGGCCCTCCAAGAAGGTCCTCACGACCGCAGCATTCAAACCAAGAGCATTCAGTGACAGTGCAAGGCTGTGGGGTGGACAAAAGGAGAGGAGCTCTTTGTGCACTGAATGTCTTCCTGAGGGCTCGTGAATGCACTGTGGTCCCTAGCACACACAAAAGATAGGCAGCAAGACGCTGGCAGAGCAGCTGATAGAGTCCTACAGTTGCATTCAAATACTGAGGTAAAGAGAGCTGCAACAGATGGGCTCCTCCACACTATGCACTTGCATAGTTCAGCAGTATCCTCCGAGAGTCCTTGTTATTCTAATGAAGACACATGCTTCTAAATTAGACAAGAGTAACGTACTTTCTGGTCTTCTTCAGGTCTCAACAACTGCTGTATTGAAAATGGCTGTGTTCCCCTCTGGCCAAATGGATGTAGAGGCCAATTGCGTGCTGAAAATAAGACAGGAAGAAGGTAAAAGAACATGTTGGCTTTGGAGACTCTGTAAGGGTAAGAGGAGTAAAAGGAGGACAAAAGAAAGAATTTGAGAACGGGTGTCCAAAATCTGGGAGTTGAATTTCAGAGGATGAATCCCATGATCAGAGAACCTTTTGTTCTTGGAAAGGGTCATGACAGCCGGGAGCCTGACTTGGAAGCACTAGGCACAAGACAAGATGGGGCACCAGTCCATCACGGAGCACACACACAACGCCAGACACCAGCTAACCTATCTTGAGAGGGTTGGAGGAGACCAGAGACATCCCAATCAAACAGGGCAGGAGCATTAAACTCCACACAGGGGGCTCTATTGGCTGAACTCAAACCCAGGGCTCAAGAGCTGTGATGTTAATTCACTTTGCCACCAATGCTCCCCTCAAAACTGATTATTTTTTCATAACACATCTGTAATCTGACTCTCTTTTCTTGACAGCACAACAGCGCAGGAAGCTCGCCAGCACCCGTCCCTACTTGAGGCCCTGGCCCACAGCGTAACCACCACAGATTCCCTGCCGATTCCCCTCACACTTCTTCCTATCAGCTTCAAAGACTTGGCTTGGGAAAGGCGCACTTTATTCTCAGCTCCAGACCCCCTGTCTAGGGCTTGGACTCTCCACTGTTTGAGAGTCTCATTGCCAAAGCAGCCTGACTGCGGGAATGGTGTTTGTGTGTGTCGAGGGGTTGCTGTCTTTGTTGTTATTGTTGTTGCTAGGCCATTCCTCACTCGCACTTGGCAACGCTGTCGGGTGTTCCAGGGTTATTTTGTCTCCATGGCAACAGGCTCGCTCTCAAACAGACACCGGAGAGCAGCCTATATTCACCACAGTCGTCTTGCTTTTCTTTTTCTTTGTGATTTTACTTATTTCCTTACTTGTTTTGTTTCCCCCTGAAATGATTCTCATGCAATTACATTCTTCAACAAAAATCGGAATTTCAGGACCCTGATCCCAGTTGCACTCGCATGCGCAGTAATTAAGGAATCGATCAGGGAATTATCAGCTGTGTACTACTACGTGCTACTATACGTTGAGGACCAAATACTCATGGAGAAGCTACTGCTTAACTATGAAGTCAACGCTTAATTAGAATTTACAATAAAATAACAAACTCCATTTCAGGGACTCCAGTGAAGTGACAAATGTTTACAGAATGTGCTGAAACTCTTGAGTTTGACGTTGTGTCCTACAGCAATTCCCTTGTCTCTCCAGGGTCCCATAATGGTTCGGAGTAGACCCCTGTATCTGTATAGAATACACTACTGAAACTTGCTTTATATGGAAAAGGAGATGTGTATATTGTATACGTACTGTACTGCAGGGGCACTGTTCGGGGAGTCAAGTGAGAGATTCCAAAATACCTTTGTCCCACTCATCCCCACCACCTCCCCCCAAGCAGTTAACAAAGTGACAGATGCAAACTCATTGAACCCCCCCCCCGAATAACTGACCCTGTGTGTTTTCATCTTCACTGTTGACTTAAGACATCCACCGGATTGACTTGATCAGTGTCCCTGGGGGATTGGAAGACTTTAATGTTCAAGACTTAAAGAGTTCAGTTCTTTTAGCCTGTCAGGAATGGGTCTGCCTGTTCATCTCTGAACTGATTACAGAACAGCAGAGCAGCAATATGTTTTGCTAGCATCATGACTAAAATTGTACACAATATTCTAAACAAGGTCCATACTAGTGCATTGCAGAATTTTAACCTGATGACCCTTGATTTAAATTCTATAGGAATTCTGACCCTATAGGAAAACATTCTGTCTACATTTCCATTCCACATAAACACCCAAGTGCTTTTGCTGTTATGATGCTGGAAATCTATTTTTGTTATTCAGTTTATTTTCCATTAAAATTTCTTTCCCTATATCTTGGTGTTTCCATCCTTTCTGTTCTTTTTTACCTTATGTTATGTTATTTTTAATCATTTTACAAAGGGCTTTTCCAAAAGCATTCTTCTCCACCCAGTCATTTCCAGTGTACACTGCGTAACCAATGACCAGGTGCTATTTGAATCAATTCACCACCAGGATCATCTGTCACACTCCAAGCCATGAGAGACGACTGAGTGGTCACTGCAGCTGGGTGCTTGAGTTTTAACTCACTACCCATTATGTGCAGAAATATACAGTAACAGCCCGAAGTGTTCTGTGAACGTTCACTGAATAATAGTTTATTTTATATCTGCAATCTCGCTTCTTTAGTTAAAATATATTAAATGTCATTTTATTTAACATTTCTACATATGACCTTTTTTACTGAAAGCCTGTCTTTGTAGTTTTTCTTGGTAAATCATTGCTTCCAAAGTCCTTTGATACAGAATCTTAACTTTTCTTCATTTCATACAGTGTGACATGGAAAGGAATCAATGAATACAGTGGTCCTGGAGGGGTCCAGTTCTAACTGCACCTTAACTATTAGTGCTGCGAGATGTATTTGCGTTAACATATTCAGTATTTGGTATGTGGTCATTTGTTTGGTGCGAGTGAAGTTTTATTTAATCTCTGACCCAGGGAAAAGTGTGGTGTGGATGGTTGAGGCAGGCAGGCTCGCGTTGTGTCCCTTATATTCTTTTTCTTCTTCTTTTTTGGTCTGCTGTTTTTTGTTATCAATAGAGTTTGGTAATTGGCCAGCAAAAGCTCTGTTTTCCTTCATATGAATGCCTAAACTGAGCCCTGGATTTTACAGCTACTCGGCGCCAGCAATTGATCTGCTGGCTGGTTTAAAATGTTTCGGCACTGAATCCTTGGTTTCCAAAATATGCTAGTTGAAGTGCTTTATTTCCAACACCTCCTGCAAAAGAACTTCATGCAGTCTCTCCTCAGCTTGGTAATGATACATTTGCTCCCTTCATTTTGAGTAAAGGGCAGCATGGTTGAGCAGTGGTTAGCATTTCTGCTTTGTAGAGTTGGGGCCCTAGGCTCAATTATGAACCTGGGCTGCTATCTGCAAGGACTTTGTACATTCTCCCCATGTTGGTGTGGTTTTCCTCCCACATTCCTCATAGTATGTCTTAGCCTGCGGGAAAATTCGTCCTGGTGTGTGTTCCCTGCAATAGACCGGCATCCCGTCCAGGATGTATCCTGACTTGTGCCTGTTGCTAGCAGGGGGGGGCTCTGCCCCCCCCAGGTGGATGAAGTGATTAGAAAATGGATGCAATTTTGACTAAACATCTCTTAATTGATTATCACTCGATAATGAATAGACACAGGAGAAAATGACTAGCAAACATCATACATCAGACAGGCCCACAGTGAGTGGATATTTTTTTTTAGCTTAAGTCCTGTTGGTTATATGTGAGATTTTTTTAAAAGAGGTGCAGTAGTGTGATTAAGAGCATGGCTGAGGCTCAAACTCCTGTGGAACTGCAGTACATTTATACAGCAGCTTACCCATCAGCAGTGCGGTGGCTAAGGGTCTACGCCTGTGCCTGGAAGGTTGCCGGTTCGTATCCTGTAGCCAGCAGAGGAATCCTACTCCGTTGGGCTCCTGTGCAAGGCCCTTAACCCCACCTGCTCCAGGGGCACTGTATAAATGGCTGACCCTGCACTCTGACCCCAAGCTTCTCTCTCTGCCTGTGTGTCTTATGGAGAGCAAGCTGGGGTATGTGAAAAGATGAATTCCTAATGCAAGAAATTGATGCCAAAAAAGTGATCTCTTGGATCCCCACTCTACATCTTGGAGGCCACTGACACAACAGAATTCTTCATTAACCTTGAATTATTTATTTTGGCTTAAGCGCACAAAACACAAAAAAGTATTTTAATATTATCAGGTAATCTCTATTCACAGGATTAATCAAGACAGGATGAGTAAATAATATTAGTTGTTTGCTTAGTTTATGGATGTTTTAGTACTCTTGGTGATATAGAGGGCCTGGGGAGTTTAAGCCTGTTGTAGACCTGAGCTGACATCTATGAGGCAGAATGACCCGATCTTACAATCAGATGCCGCTGTGATGGTTTTGGGTAGAATCAACCATATATGGAGCAATACTGAGCTTCTGGAATGTCAGAACTGTTCCTCATAAAAAGATTCATTCTTAAATTGCTGACAGCAGGTTTTCTAGGTAAAGCATGTGTTTAGATTGAGAACTGGGTAGTGGACAGAGAAGAGAGTATAGTTAATGAGCAAATGCTCATGTTGAATTGATGTAATCAATGGAGTACCACAGGGACCTGTATTAGGGACCTCTGCTCTTCTAAATGCATATCTAGATTCTGGGATAATTAGAAAACCGGTCAAGTTCATAGGTGATTCCAGAGGATAAGAAAACACCAGAAGCTGCAAAAGACATTCAAAACACCTTGGGCTAAATTTGAGGTTAAGTAAACACCTGACAGCTAATATTTCAAGTACAGCGGGTTATATACAGGCAGCAGAGATAGCCTCTATATATAAAATTGGATACATTAAGAAGTTACTAATGAAAAATAATGTTTTTCATTTGAATATTTAAGACAATGTTGGAAAGCGATAAAAAGGACAAACAAATTGGTAGGATATATACTGTAGTTAAAAGTGTAGAATTTAAATCAAAGAGCATCATGTTAAAAGTTTATAATTCACTAACAAGGCATAATTTAAATTATTATTTTAATTTCAGTCTCCACGTACAAAAAATCATGCTGCTCTCGAATCAGTCCAATAAAGAATAACCAGATGCATTCCTGGGTTTAAAGGAATGTCCTACACTGAGAGGCAGAAGGAACTGAACTTGTTTTGAATAGAACTAAACCTCTGTTTTTAATCTTGAACAGGGAAGACAATGAATGGACATAATCCAAGAATTAAAACCCTCAAAGGCATAGACAAATTCAGCCCAGTGAATTTCTTTGGAATAAAGAGTGGAGCAGGAACCGAAGGACACCAGTGAGAACTACAGGGAAATGTAGTTTATAAACAAAAACAGGTGGCACTCCATTTGCCGAAAGGGTTGTGGGAGTCTGGAACAAGCTACACAGACATGTTGTCAAATCTGACATCCTGGATTCCAGAGAGAAACAGCATGACGAGATAACTTAGATCAATTAGCCAGGAACAGGCAGGCAGGATAGATGGACTCAGAGGCTCCTCTGGTTTCTCACTGTTCTTCTGATTGCACTGGGTCAGTAGTGTCTGCCATGTTGGGAGGAGTACAGTGAGCCTGGACAGCAGGGGTCCTCCCAGATATTAGACAAGAGCTGCTTTCCTCCTGTACCACTATATAAAACAAAGAGGATTAATGGGGCGACAAATACATACCAATTATCAAGTCATTATTGTCCCACAAACCCTGATCCCGAGACAGTACTCGCAATATTGACGAAAGCTCCACTCTGCTACCTATTACAGCAGCGTCTGAGGTTTGGTTTTCATCTTCCCTTGCCTCTCTGACAGCCCTGAGGTTTTGGGGGTTTTTGTATTGAAAACTTTGGGTCTTTTAGGTTAGATTCCTTTTTTAATGTCAAATTTGGATTTTTACATTTACTTTAGAGCATGTGTTTGTAAGACACAAAAAATCCACATATAACAGCATAGAATAAAGAAACGTGTTTTAAGAAAATCTTTTTGACCACTCAGAATGGAAGATCCTGTTCCTACTGCTTAGAGTTAAACACAGAGGCACTTTTAACAAACGTCAAAAGACACCAGGCCCTCCAGGAATATGAAACCTTGACATTGCAGCTACTTCTCCAACAGTTACAATGCAGTAGTTGTCCGATTACAGGAGAATATCTGTGAGCACTTTCTCAAAAATTAATGTATTTTCTAATTAGTGTATAAAAGCTTGCAATTATCCTTAAATGAAATACTGAAAAGAAAACAAATGATCATAAATTAAATGCATTGCACAACCATCTGCAAAAATAGCCTTTCTCTAAGGCTGGGATCTCTTATCCTGGTCCCGGAAAGCCAGTTCAGTTAGTTTCACAGGACACCCTAAAATCTTTGACTTTTTTCTCATGATTGGTAAGACCGGAAGGTATTGATGGATCAAGGAAGTAATCTGTCCAATTGTGAGAATTCTGGTTCTTGAGGGTTGAAGAGCATTTAGTAGTTCTTTAAATAATTTAATTTATCAACTCACCTCTTTAAGCGAGAACTCTGGAATTGTTCAATGTCTTCATAAACTGGTGATTTAACGGTGATTGGACCAGTAACAGGAGCAGAACTGGACATCCCTGCTTAAAGAGATTTTTGTCACTTTTTGCTGTAACTGGGGTATGAGTCTTCCTTTTCATATTCATGTAGTGCATTCTTTATTTTTAAATTACACTAAGAAAATCCCTCTTCAAAGGGACAGAACATTTGCTGACAGGACATCAGCTCCCTGTTACAGAGCTGAGATTTAGGAGGCCGCTGGTTTCTATCAGAAGCACCAGCTCTTTCATACCAGTGCAATTACATGGGCAGCCTGTGAGCCGCCTGCTTGCAAAGCAGATGTGGCAGTTTGTCGAGGACGCACAAGGAGAACTGAAGTAGAGACTGCAGTCCCAAGGGTGTGCCTGGGCTTGTTGAGACTCTGGCTGAAGGCGTCACCTTCTGAAGGCGGGGGCAGGGTGGCAGGTGGCAGTCTTTCAAAGTCAGGCATTCACTGCCAGCAAAACCAGCAGGCAGTAGGAGGGGGACTTTTCTCACCTGAGCGGATCTGAAATATTTGGAGCAATGCTGGGAAATAAGGAAGAAAAAAGAAAATCAGTGTCCCATGACTATGTCACTCGTCATAGTCACAGAAGCCAAAAACTCTCACAGCTGTGGTTCAACTAGTGATGTAATAAGAGAAACTGAACCATAAATCACTCAACTACAGTATGTTATGACAGGGTTGTTAAAGTTACAGTGCAATACAAATATAGAGTCAGAAACGCAAACAGTATCACAGAATACGTATTTTATGAACGTGAACAATTTTCTCAAAGTCTTTTAGTATTACATTTGACATTTATTAATGCAGCTTAGTTGAGGGGGGAAGAAACTTATCTTTCCATTTATCATTTTTTTTCCTAAAGGATCATAATCTTCATAAACATGTGATCACAACAGCATAAGGTGAACTAGATACAAGCAGCTAGCTTGGGGTGTTGCAGCAGCTAATGCAGTGCATTTTCTAGTTGAATCCAATTGACTCGTTTTCAAGGGTTTCTGTACTACTGATCTGTCAGGACTAACTGTGAAGCTAGTTAGCTACAGATTTCAGCAGGCGATTGCCATAGAATTCTGCTTCTACTGTACACAAATAAGGAAGATCACTGAGTGAAATGAGTAGAATAACGCAAAAATGTTATCAACTCTGGCAAACGATGCAGGTGGTTCATTTAGAGAGATGATTGGCTAACTACACTGTCAACAGAATAGCGCCCCTGTTGTGACAAAAAGCTGCAGTCAAGCAAAGGAATTTGCAGCACAGATTATTTAGGTTTCCCACTGAGGTTTGCCCAAGGCCATCTCCTTACTGCTTTGCTGAATGACAGCTGTATTTCAGCTGCTACAGTTTCATCTTTATAGCACTGCTCCTGTTTAGCTCTCTGTGGAAAAAACAGTGCTAGCTGCTTCCACTTTATTTCCATTTGTGTTAATTTGCCCCTAATCCTGGGATTTAAACATGTTTGACTTCCCTTGCATCATTCATGTAAGGAATCAGACACACATCTATTGACTGTGTGAGTCATGACGGTTTTTTTCACCCTCATTTAGGAAAATTCACAGCATGCGATCCCCACTGTAAGACGGTAGACATTGCCTTTTAAAGGACGTTGTGCTTTTCTTGGAGGAGCGCATTCAGTTAGAATTCTGTGCTGGAAGTTGAACATGTGCCTCACAGGCTTGGTATCTTTGCTAGGAATCTGACCTGTGCCCCTTTAAAATTGTACTGGAGGTACATCTTCGCCTCCAGGCAGAGATTCTTAACTGGGTGAGCTCTTCCAGCAACTCATTGCTGTAAGATACCCATTTTCTCAGCTAGAGTCACAGTTTAAAAAGAAAAGGTCAGTCTGAAAAAAGACCATCACGGAGAATCTTAATGTGTATGTTTGGCGATCTGAGGCCCATGCATCAGATGGTTGGGTCTAAGAAAGAACTTTCCTGCTTACAGATGGAGATGTTCACTGGCTGGGTGATGTGAAGGCAGTGAAGGAGCTTCAAGTCACAGTGTGAGAAGAACTAATTACTGCCTGTTGGGCTTCTGTGCGTTTACTGTGTTGTCAGGTAGAGCCAACCCCTAGCTTCTGTTAAACATGATAGTGCTGCTGTTAGAAATGAACATAAGAACAGTTCCAGGCTTGCAGTGCAAAAAGATCTTGATACAGGTGCTGATTTACAGTATTTCTGCAGTGAGCTAAACAGCCGATCAAATAGAAGTTCCAAGCTGGTGTGTCTAATTTGGAAAAGATATGTAGATTCTATACTGACTGAGAAATGAAACAGAAACATTTCACACAAAGCTCACATTAAATACCTGAAGAAAGGTCACCCAGCAGTCACCTGCACACTCGTTAAACAGACTTCTGAAAAGGCCTAATCCTAGGAACAGGTTCAGTACTGACGACTCTGATGTCATCTGTGCACCAGTGCCTGGAGGGAAGCAGCATGTGTCATCCCTGTCAGAGCATGAAGGCCAAATGTTTTTTTCTTCTGGAGAGGACTGAGCTGTCGGAATGCTGGGCTGTGGTTTTTCCAGGACACGCCTAGACTCACTGGGATCTGTGCAGACTAAACACCACTGCTTCTCAAGACGACAGCCTGACATCAAAGCCTTAGGTATTTCTTCCTCTCGCTCACACACACTCTTTCTCTCTCCGTCTGAGCGGGTTCCTACCTGCAGGATACGCACGAGAGTCCCTCATTAAAGGAAATCTGAAACGCGCTACACCCTCCAGAGACCACAGAGCAGAGAGCAGAGACTCAAATTCTACTCTTTTGTTATTCCTGGCTCACACGGTGTTCAGTCCTACTGCCATAGTGATTTTTGTATTTCCTACTACAGTTGCTAATGTAACATTATTTGTTGAAGGTGTGATAGTGTTTCAAAGGAACCAGCTGACTGCTTGGCTAATACACAACATTTTTAACATAACACATTTACTATCAATTAAAAAATATTTTATGAAAATATTGCCAAATTATTTATATTTCTTAAATGAAGCTAGTTCCTGTGTGTGGAGTATTGAGAGTTCCATGTCTCCAGTCCTGTTCAAAATCCGTTTCTGAAAGACAACTTGGGACACTCGTCTATACATCCCAATTACCCCAAATTACCCAAACTGTTTCTTTTTCTGTTTTTAAGTACATGTTAAACTAGAACATATTAGAAGCTTAGCAGTCGAAATACAATTTGTTTTTAAGATTCCTGGCTCCATTTGTGTCTCAGATCCTGAAGGAAAGTTGTTATACTTTTTCAGGTATACTTGTTTGCCTTTAACAGGCTACTTTTTTGTTATTGTGTTCATGGGGAACGTTTCTATAGCAACAGCTCCTGTGCTCTCCTTATCGTCTGCTTCACTTTATTTTAAAAAAAGGTAGGAAAGCTTTAAAACTGATATAAACGGTTAACTAGCACAAGAAGCCATTGCTCAGCAGCATATTAAAGGAAAAAGCGGACTTGCAGCTGAATTGCCGGGATCTGCACGTCTGTGTTTCCTGAGACTTGGCAGGCTGGGGTGGTCTGGGGGGTGTGAAGAAGGAGGAGCTGCCGGCTGTCGAGTAGCCAGCGGGTCTGGTGCAGACCGCAGTCGCGGAAGACACACGGCTTCAGGAAGTCGAGCCCCGTCACCGATCCCACGCTGGCGATTTTCCCAGGCCGCCCCTCCCCCTCCCCTTCCTGACCCTTTCCTTTGTAGCCGCCCCGCCGGCAGCCCGTTCCCAAGGTAAACAAAGGCCCCAGTGTGTTGCTGTGCCTGCGGGGGTCGCCGGGCTGAATGGCTGGCACAGAGAGAGCTCTGAAAGGGAGGCAGGACGCTTTCTGTGAGGGGTGTGGGGGGCGGGGCAGACTGGGTGTTGTCTACCTGTCAATACTGTCCCTGCTTCAGACAGGCAGCCTGCCAGGGGTTTCTATAATCTGCTTCCTAACAGCAAAATCGCCAATGACGTCTGAATAGGTTTTTTCATGTCATAAGCTATTTCAGAAAATGTTCTTTTCCTTTGGCGGCCTCCTTGATCCAGTGTGGCCTGCAAAGGTCAGATAAACATAGCCTTTTTATCCCTCTTTGACATAATCATTTGTGCATAGATCCGATAACAATTTTACAAATTGAGAGAAAAGTGCCCCCAACAGATAAAGAAAATAAAAAATAAATCAGAAATCAGAAAATACTTTTAATAACCATCGAGAAGTCTCCCTGTAGTTTAGCATTTTCCAGTGCCAGCCATGTGAAGGTAGATAGATTGTCTATTTATGAATTAATTTAGCAACAGTTATAGTTTAACTGCCAAAGATAAAGACGCTTAATATCCATAGTATTGTGACATATGGAATGACCAGACCCTGTGAGCACATACAACACACACTATTAGAAAATGGAACACCACTGGTCTGTGACGTTTCCTTCTTCCTTCAATCAAAACATCTTTCCCCACCCCCACCCTGCTGCCAGTATATGAACTAAAACTTTGAACTAAAAAAGGCTAACAAATCACAGGATATAATTCAATGTAACATGGATATGTGTCACATCTCAAGTATGTGCAACATTCCCACAAAAAGTCAGAAATTAAGAAGAAGGTAAAGCAACTGTAAGGAAGACCTGAGGAGACCCGAGCCGCAGTTGGAGAGAGGCTCTGCTGTGACACTTCCCACAGCGACTCCAACAGAAAAGTCTGCGGAGAAGCCAGAAAGAGCAGATCCGTGCCTTGGAGCCTGCTCCTGCTCCACAACTGATACAAAAGGGAAACTAACCTAGCGGAGCGACCATTTCTGGAGAAGAGGAAAAAAAGGGAAGTGGAGAAGACGGATGGCGGATCAGGGCCACATCCCAACAAACCCTCCGGCACACCAGACACCAGGATGGATGTGTCCGAGGGGGAAGAGAGATGGATGAGACGGGTTGTTGCAGCCTATGATAAGGAAGCAATAAATCAGGAGCTGACAAAATCAGGGCAGGACCTGAAGGCTACGCTGAAAAAAGTTGACCGATGACCGAGCCTGACTCGAGAACTTGACAGATTTCTACTGCAATGAGAAGTTGTACAAGAAGGATGCAATGTAAACAATATTTAAAACAAACAAAGTTTGTCTCTTCTATTTCGCGTAGTTATTACTCAGAACGTTCTTATCTGGTATTTAGTTCTTTTAGATTTTGTCATACAATATAAGATATGTAGCCGTTATTTGGTACTGAACTACGTTATGCAATCATAGCAATCTATTGACTTTTAAAATCATAATCCTCAGTCTAAATCACTAAATACATAAGGAAGAGACCTGAATCATGAAGTCTTCCTCTGGATACTTTTACACAGCATAAGAGAGCGTAAAACACTGGGCTGTGCACTTCTGTTGCTTTACATACGCGTTCAGACAGAGAACCGGCTTCTTTGTGTCTTCGCTGGTTTGTCCTCTATGAGACTGATGTGTCCTTTGTTCTGTAGTAAACAGACAATAAAGGGACCTTTGTAGCCACTAAATCAATGTCTCCTTCTTAAAAAACGAATCTTGTAGATGTTATCTCTCCAGCGGCTTTACAACAGGAATCCGGAGAGCAGTTTCTATTCCCTAGAGACTCCCGAGCTAGTGGGAGGAGAGGGGGTTTGGGAAAATAACATCAGTTGACTAAGCACTTCAGCATGTTTAAATTAACTGATGAAGGAGGGAGACATCAGTAGGCCGATTTGAGGAGCCTGGAGGGGTGCCTGTCAAGCCCTGAAAGGAAAACCTGTCTTGCTGAGCTGGGTTTGGAGAGCGGTGTTTTGTTTTTGTCTTTCTGTCAGTGAACACCTTCCCCAGTCGCCCCCTGGCTGTTTTCAATTGTCACCCCCTTCTCTGCAGAAGGAAGACACCTGAAGTGTCTGGAGAGGGCAGGGCCTGGGTGCGATGTTATGAGGGCCTGAGGCTCAGTCCAGTCAGGCCAAGCTAACAGTTCACATGAGGCGTGAACACGAGAAAGTGGGTGGGTGAGGAAGAGAGTCCACCTGGCTTTGGATTCTTTACGCACTAATAGCAAGGCGAGATGGCTGTAGCCTTTAGTGCGAGATGGTGTCATGAGAGAGGTTACTTTTACCTTGCTGTAATGTGTTGTTGCAAGAGCGATCCTGCTCAGAAAGAGAGGAACAACAAGTTCAGACATTCAGTGTCTGTGCTTTTCTGGGGAGCTGGTGGTCCGAAACCTGTGAGATGGTGACGTGTGGGGAGGCCTCACACAGTCCCTGGGCTTTGATGTCATGAGGAATTAACAGGAATTTGAGGACAAACATGAGAGGAAACCAGAAGGCTCCTTTCTGCTCCTTCTCAGTCCTCTATGCTGACTGGGAAATAACACATATGATACCTCTATGGCTGTGGTTCTCCACCCTGGTGCTGAGCCACCCTCGTCTCTGCGGGTTCCTGCTCCAGCCAAGCTCTTAATGACAGACTTTTTTTCTCACATTAGTTTTCAGCTCTTAAAAACACGATTGAGATTTGTTTTTGAACAAACCCTGTGCGAATAATTGAGTTTCAGCCTTGCCGACTTTTAGGTGTGCAAAATGAATTGTACCCAACTGTCCCTGAGACAAAGGAAAAATCCTTTCTTGACTCACTGTGAGCATGTGGGACACGGTGTCACTCCCACCTGTTTCCGTTCATCATCCGTTGATCACCCAGTGTTAGTGGGGCCAGCAGGGGGCACTCACCCTGTGGTCCATGTGGGTCCTAATGCCCCAGTATAGTGACAGGGACACTATACTGTAAAAAGGTGCCGTCTGTTGGATGAGATGTAAAACTGAGGTGCTGACTCCCTGTGGTCATTCCTCAAAAAGAGTAGGGGTGTAACCTCAGTGTCCTGACCAAATTACCCATTGGCCTTTACCAGTCATGGCCTCCTAATAATCCCCTCTATGAATTGGCTTCATTACTCTGCTCTCCTCCCCACTGAGAGCTGATGTGTGGTGAGTGTTCTGGCGCACTATGGCTGCTGTCGCATCATCCAGGTGGGGCTGCACATTGGTGGTGGTGGAGGGGAGTCCCCATTACCTGTAGTCCCCATTACCAAGCGCTTTGAGTGGAGTGTCCAGAAAAGTGCTATATAAGTGTAAGCAATTATTATTATTATTAATAATAATAATCACCTGTTAAGAGCTGTTAAGTAGGAATAAGGAAGCAAATTGTTAAACAGAAAGTTGAAGCAGTGAAGTGCGGATTGAGGAAGCTCTAAAAAGAAGGTGCGGTGAGGAGCGAGAGGCGTGAGAGGATGATTCATTTGTGCGCTGTCGTTTTCCAGGAATTGGATCGAGCTGGTGTCTGATTATCTGCGGTCGTGAGAATGCGCCGGCGTTTGTGAGATTTAGAGAAGTTAGGTGATTGATTACGTGAGAACGTGACAAGAACAGTCTCAGCCAGCAAACAGACCAGAACAGTTCCAGGACCCAGTTAACACTGGGGATTATGGCCCAATTTGAACAAAACCCAGCAGACAGAGGGGGCGTCCGGGACGAGGACTGAAAGACACAGTTCTATGGGATCAAGGCCGTGTGGAGGATTAGTTCAATCTCTCATCTCTGACTCCAGTCGAACATAAAGTGAGACAAGCCACCAGTAAAAAATTAAATGTAAGAAAGCAATACAAGAAAACATTTATGATTTTCACTTTGCCCGTTTGCCAGTGGCATTGTGTTTTGACACGT